CCCCCCCCCCCCCCCCCCCCCCCCCCCCCCCCCCCCCCCCCCCCCCCCCCCCCCCCCCCCCCCCCCCCCCCCCAACAGGGATTTTTTCAAAAAAAAATGTTTTTCTCAGAATCATTCAAAACATATATAAATCGACTCAGTTTTTGCAGTACACGTAACAATCGGATGCGCATCCGATGTTTCCTCATTTTTTTCTACTTTCAATGAATCCTATTGGTGAACAAGAATATGATCATGATGGTAATAAAAATCGTTCATGACTGTAATGTTATTAGTAAGCGCAGCGTAGAAGATCGTTTCAAAAAACGAATAACTTCTACAATACTATTTTCGAAGCATGGAAATGATTTTTCTTAATTATTCTCTTCAAGTAATTGAAAGTTCAATAACAATATCTTCCAAAAAAACCCGAATGTTGTATAATGTCAATAAAATACTATAATGATTTCGAATGAACACTTTTTTGCAGATCGATCATATAAACAGTAAAATATCAATCATTTCTATGTCTCGCAAATACACTACATGCTAATACAATATCTTTGAAGAGAGAGAGAGAGTAAATAGCCCTACGGCATAGAAATATTGATTTAGATCTGTGTAATATCAAAGCGAACATTCATAAATCGACATTCATTAAGAAAAATAATCTCACCTAATTTAGAGTAATACTACTCGAATTCGATTCAGCTATTCCTGTTTGTTTTTTATTTCAAATTTGTATATGACATCATTCAAACTTAGTGATCAGCGAGGAATATCCTACAGCTTACAAACGAGTAATTGGCTCTCGTTTAACTCCACATGCTATTTTTTGCTTCTCCGCCTCATTTTAATGAAACGCTTCAATGCTGTCACATGCGTATATATAAAATAATAAAATAAAAAGGTCAACATACACTGCAGGACAAACTATGAAATGGAACCCCATCGTCGTACTCGGTCTTTTTCTTTTCTACTCAACAGTACATCTGTTTCTCGTTTACAATCATTCAATGGATCATCAAAACTAGCTGAGAATATATTACCATATCACTGTTTCGGTCTAAACATATACAATTTCGAATATATGTTGAGATAATTTGTTGTCCTAAATCGATGTCATATTAGCAGACCGTTGCTTAAATTGATAATAGAGGGAAAACAAGCAAAACAACAAAAGATTTCACACGTATGGTCTAAGAAGAAGTGCCCTTGATATATCATCAAAATCAATGCGTAATAAAAAAAAATAGAAGAAAACAAACGAAAGCAAGTAGCCAAATTGATAATTGCCTGTTACATAGATTAACCATCAACACACTCGAAATTTTTTCTTCTTAACTAAATATCGTATCATAAAAAAAGAAAACAACAGTAAATTTAGATAATATGCACGTGCATTCACTCCCGCATCGAATTTAAAGAGAAACTTCAATCGAATCGAAATTGCTGATTTTCTTCTAACTAGTCTTAGAAAAACAAACAATGACGGTGCCGACAAGAAAAACAAGTCGAAAAAGAACGAATGTGTATGTGTATTTTTTTAAAACACCACATGAGATCAAATTCTAAGAACGATATTGTATCCATCAACACATCAATCGACTATAACCACAAAAGTACATTTAGAAAGAAAAACGTAGGCAACAGCTTTGTTTTAGTGTCCAGAATATCAACATATTCTATCATCTGGTTCACTAATTTTAGCCATTTTGTTGAAGTTAAAAAATAAATGTACAACAAAAAGTGTTCGACAGTTGATCGTTATGCGCGATTAAATAACGAATGTGAGTATTAGTTTTCTGGCCTTTTCTTGTTTATCGTAGATAGATGTTAATAAACGCAGAAAAGAAAAAATCATTTTGTCATTTGTTTTGAGTGAGAAAAATCATCAACTTAATATTCATTCATGATCGCAGGTTGTCGAGAAAACGAAGCGTTGAGTATAACGGGAAGTGTAAAGGTGTTTATATGCTGCGTGAACAATCTCTCGACTTGACAATTGTCACCTTAACATATTCTTCTTCTAGTTAACCATAACTGTCCAATCAGCGAAAGAGAAAAGTCAAATGTGAACAGCCAATAAACGATTTTTTCTCTCTCTCTCTCTTCCATTTCCTCTTTCGCTCAAAGTATCGTTGGGCAGTCGAGTGGTAATTCAATTTGTTTGCGCATCACCGCATCGTTTTCTTTGACAGTCAACAATACTAATCATTGTAAGTGGCAGGTGAGTTCATGGAAAGCAGAAAACTTTTTTTTTCAATCACTCTTAGCGCAGTTAGTCACACAAGTAAACTTCCTCGAGAGTGATCTTCGAGTAGAAAGAATTATGATTATCAAAGCATATTTTCAAGTCATTCCCATAAGTTCGTTCTAGGGTTGCTACTGCCTATTTGATTTTATAGAAATTTATTATTTCCGTTAGTGTTAAATCCTTTTACAGGCATTCGAAATGCTCGAATATTTCTTTTTTATATGCTATAGATTTTCTCACTAATTTTAATGAGTGTTATTCTTTTCTTTTTTTGAACTATAAATAAAGCTGTATATATTTATATATAGAAGCGTTAATTCCTCAGCACCTTTTCTTCATTTGTCGGACTTTATTAATTTAAGGAGTTGCACGCGCTGGGCATTTATTTCATCTTAAGATGTCTACGTACATGTTTTTTGTTATTATTTCTTTGTCAATCAATTTATGCGCTTTGCTCACCTATCGACTATATTAGGTGTGAGTGATGCACGAGTACGATGTAACTTCAAATAGGCCTACAAGAGAAAAGTTATTAACACTTGTGATGACGTTTCCCTAGAGAAAACAACAGCAGCAACAACAAGAGAAGAAAACATAGAAGAGCGTAAACGATATTACTCGTTGTCGTTGATAATAAATCGTCATTTTTATGTGTGATGGCTCATCGATAATGTCAGTAAAAATTTTCACTTTGATTACATCGTCGTGCGCATCAAAAACAAGAAAAATTTCTGCTATGATAATTATATCGGCTGCCATCTGATTAATCTTCTTTCGATCTGATATGTATATAGGATTTATTATTTGCGATGAATAATCAAAATGTTGTTCTAGTCGATTGAAAAATGATTTTTTTCCATGCTCAATATATAGAATATAAAAATGTGTTTCTATGATATTCTTTTCTAGACAAAGAACAAGCGAATACAAATCATCACTAATGGATCCACTTGCTTCAATTCTCTATTCATCATCATCAGCGGATACAAAAAAACGCAAAAATCGTTCACTACAACCGACATTAAAACCAATATCAACGAAACAATCTCGATGTCAAGTTGGCATGCTACTACGTTCGTCAACGCCGAAAACGCCTTTACAATCACGGAAAACGACAAACATAGCAGGTACACAGATTGCTTCTTTCATTTTTGTTTTCATTGAATATCTAATTGATTATAAAAGGAAGAAACACAATTTTCTTTTTGATTGTCAATTGTTCATTCATTCGTTAGAATACATTAACTTGAACGAGTTTACAGTTAAGACAAAAAGTCACAGTTTTGCGTTAAATGAAAATCAATAGAATTAAAAAGAGCGACAGGATATCCTTTATTGAGAGTGTGCAAGCGCTAAAAAGAAAAGCATCGCTATGTCCTTCTTCTTCTTCTTCTTCTTCTTCTTCTCTACGACGAGTAAAGCTTGTGATCAATAAACAACAAAAGCTGCTAGAAGCACTTCAAGCTACAATCAATCTAGAAGTTATTTCACACTCCGGTGTTTGATTTAAATAAATAGATTTTCTTTTTCAAAACCAAGACGTCTAGGAGTCGATAGAAAATCCACCAGAAAAAGAGCTTGTGGCTATGAGATCAAGCAGACTAACATGTATTTAGTTTGTCGGATTGTTTAGTTTTTCTTTGAAGTAGTCATTCAATAATCCGCCCTTCGTTCATTTTACACCACTTGAACTTAACATTCAAGTTTTTTCGTGTCTAGCATCCGAAAATTAATTTGACTTTTTCTTCGTACGTATCTATCGTTCAAAAGAACAAATGAAAACATGTGTCGACAATGAGAATGCTCTTGAATAACTTGTTGACTTGGGTATTTAGCTAAATATCAAATGAGACCGATGCCGACATTTGTCAATTGAATTTGATGTCAAGTATTCATTTGTTGTTTTTCAGCTCATCCGATGACATTGTCAACATCTTCGTTGTCGACAACGAATTCACCACAGAGTCCTCGTTGTTCAACACCCCTGTTTGCCAAACAACGTCGTACACGCCCATTTATTGTCTGTGAACTTTGTCGACAACGAGCATTTCAATCGTCAGATTATCAACGAAACAAAAATCAAGATAATCAGATTAAAAAATCCAACGACAATCAACAAACATCTCATCATCATTCAGCAACATTACATTATTATCAATATCAAACTAACACAAGTACTATTCGTCGACGGCGGCGTTCATCGATCGATCAACTACTTGTGTGGATTATATAAAAATGAAAAAACTTTCGAAATGCATTTTCTATTTTTTCCTTTTTTGTTTTTGATGAACAGTAATAGATAACCGATATTATTGATTCATGTTGAATTCTGTTTTTGTACATAAATCATTAGACTAGATTTGCCTTTGTTATGTATTTGTTTATCTTATTAAATAATAATCTATTGTCATATTGACAGTCAAAAAATGATATTATTTCAAATTCTCTTTCAGCAGACTTTTATGCCATGACGCCTGTAGCGTACGTTAAATATATAGTATAGATATGAACAGATTAACAGATTTATTGGTTATGCTTTTTTGAGAAATACAAATATTTGAAAATGGCAAGAAGTTTGTTAGTGGAACTAAAAATTTCATTATGACGTGGCCACGCTCATCGTTTCTGTCTCCATCTCTCATAGGCGAAATATGATTATTTGCTCGTCGTTCTTAATTGATGAACGCTCACCTTGATGAGTAGATGACGAAATATTCATTAATTTGAGTGAAAATTAATCATTTATCGAACGATTTATTTTCTACTGGAACGATCATATAAAATGATCGCTGAAAAAGTTTCTACTATCATAAAACATACGAAATGAATTCACCATTGTGGTCTTATCCATTTACGCCCTATTATCAACCAACAACTCCATCAAACTTTTATTCATATCCAAATACAGCTATCCAAACAAGTTTAAATTCATCATCAGGTTATGAAAGTGCTACGAATGAAACAAGTTTTATCGATCCATGCTTTGCGAGACCATCGTTTGCTAACAAGGTAGCATTATCTTGTATGAATTTTCTCGTAAATATCTATTTATCACTATTTCTAGGAGTCAACTCCAATGCATGATGATATTCACATGGATGAAGACAGTATGTCGTCGGAAAACAATAATGAAAACCGAAAAAAACGTCGTGTTTTGTCACGTCCACAACGACAAGAAGCAAATCGTCGTGAACGTCAACGAATGGATATTATAAATCAGGCTTATGAAGAATTACGAAATGTACTTCCGTTTAAAAAAGGTCGAAAACGCCAAAAAATGTCTCGTATGGATACAGTCGATGGTGCTATTCGTTATATTCATACACTTCTTGAAACACTACACGGACCGCATTATAATCCTGATTGGGCTAAGTGACAATTGTTTCGTTGTTTTTGTTTTAGTTTCTATTCTCTAATAAAAAAAAAACACTGTTGATATACTAAATATCTTTTTTTTTGAATGAAGTCCTCGTTTTTTCCTACGATCGTATCTGCAAGTAGGGGAGGCAAAACGTGTTCTCTTGAAAGTGTGAGAGATGCAAACGAGTTCGGGTGATCCCAGTCGATAGATGTCACTGTCGTTTTGATGATTATAGCATTGAGTATCATGTTTTGTGTGAAACAAATAATGAAATAAACTTTTATTGATATTAAAGAAGATTCCGATCATTTTATTTCAATTTTAAGATAGATATTTATTTCAACTATAATCTAACGTTCAACCAATCATAAATCGTGCAGAGGACTCCTTTGTATTTTTTCTTTCTGCTTGTGTTTTCTTGTTTGCATTTTATTTCTTTTCTATCCTACACTTATTTTGCATTGCTAATGTAGTAGATTGACTCATATTTCTATGCATATGTCTGGCGACTCATTATTATTTGTGAATCCAGTATCGACGATATAGTCTTTTAATCACACACAATAAGGTATTTATTTGTTTATTTTTGTATAATCAGATATTATCCGTAACAGCTTGCAATAAGTTTTTCGAATGAATATGTACTTTTTTTTTATTTTAGTATGTTGAATACAAGAAAAAATAAAGCGACCAACGGAGTTTTGTATGAGCATGCGGACAACATTATCTTCTGGCAATTATGAACTACATAAAACATGCAACGGGTAAGATTATTTGTTCAACTTTATTAAGACATAAGTGCGCAGTTGCATATAGTTTCGAGGTTCAATCAATAGTAAATTCAATGGCAGTTGATCAATTTTGATTTTCGTTTTTTTGTAAATTAAAATATATGAAATGGCATGATCGCTGATTTGAAATTATTATTAAATACAGTTAGAAAAGAATTCTCTTTCTGAAATAGATCGGAGTCAGAATCCTAAGGGGATAAACACATTTTCACTATATATTGATGAGAGGTCTTTAGAGGATTTACTCTAATATTCTACAAGAAAGTTGTAGTATTCGACTCGATCCCTGGGTGATTTTTTTCTACTTGATTTTACCTTAGAAGAAAATATTCTTTTCCTATTCGGTATCATATTGAAAGTGCACTGCTATTAACTTTGATGTTGGGATTTGTTCGGTCGGAAGCAGATATAGTTCATGGAATATGCCCGCAGCGCCTAATTATTTCAATGGTGATCTGTAGGAATTTAACTATTGATCGTTTGGGATAAAAACGGCTCAATTGAGTGCCCTACAATTGATTGGGCCAGTTTCCGCTATGATAAAAATAAAATTATGTTTTAGTTTGTGACCATCCTCACGCATTGCTCAGGATTTATACATGATCAATATCGTAAAAATGAACAACAGGTAATGCAAAATTACGAAAAAACAATTACAAATGATCGAACCCGGTCGTTACCGTTTAGATAATTGTCCCGTCGGAGTAAAAAATTACAAGGTATGAAAAAAACGATTTTTCTATTTTTTTTAAATATTATATTTATTTCAATGACAATTTATTCAGATGAGTAAGAATATTTTGTATTAAAAAAAAAGAGTAACGAGACGGAGAGCATATTACTGATTTTGTCTATTTGTAGATTTAGACGACAGAGGCAGGCAATAGGAAGAGCCCGTCTTTCGGTAGTTGTCATTCATCTCGTGAACGAGTGAGAGAAACATAATAGCATTAATGAATACGGTTGTATTGATCGACAGAACACAAGTCTTCTTCGCGTTTGTATTTCGATTGTACACAAAAAAAAAACATAAATTTTCTGTTCGTGTTTTGTAACGAGACGACTATATATATATATATGTAAATCTATTTGTATATATAATCAAATTTAATGTATACATTTAATTGGAATAGACGAGAACAAAAAAGTTGAGATTCCATTTTAGATCATCAATTAATTTCGTAGAATAATTTATTTTCTTGATTAATAAGATGTCAGCCGATACATCATCGACAACAACCGATATAGTTGTTAAAGATGACTTTAATTCTGCAAGTACAACAAATGATCAACCACCAGCAGAATCAGTGCTCAATGGTGGTGTACCACATTCGGAGAATAATACGGATGTAACTGAAAATTCAACTGATGCACAAGGTGAATCAACAGAAAATGCTTACGAGGATAACAATAATAATAATAACAATGAACAAACATCTTTGAATAAAAGTGATCTAGAACCAGAAGCTCTTCGAAAAGTTTTTATTGGTGGTTTATCGTATAAAACTGATGATCAAACTTTTCGAGATTATTTCTCAAAATATGGAGATATTGATGTAAGTAAAACAAAATTATAATCAATAGGAATAATATCGAAATAAATATTTATTTTACCTTCAGGAATGTATCATAATGCGTGACCGTGAAAATCGTTCTCGAGGTAAAATCGAAACAATACTTTAATGATTTTCATATTCAAATTTGATTAGGCTTTGGTTTTGTTACTTATTTATCATCGGCAATGGTTGACAAATTAATGGCTGGTCGGCCACATGTACTAGATTCACGTGAAATCGAACCAAAACGAGCTATACCAAAAGAAGAAAGTGGAAAACCAGAATCATCTCTAAGCGCCAAGAAATTGTTTGTTGGTGGTATTAAAGAGGGAACATTAAATGAAGATGATCTTAAAGAATATTTTACCAAAGTAAGTTAATTCAGATTGATTAAAATATTTGATAAAAATGCTTATTCTCTAGTATGGTCACATTGTTCAAACGGTTATTATGAAAACCAATGAAGGAAAATTTCGTGGATTTGGTTTTGTTGAATTTAATGAGTAAGATATTGGAATACAAGAATTTTCCGTATGAATATTGTTGTGTTTTTAGTTATGATCCAGTAGATAAAATTGTGCTTGAAAAACATCATGTTATCAAAGGAAATTCTGTTAATGTTGAAAAAGCATTGCCGAAAGAACAGACAAATCGAGGCCGCATGGCACAATCAAATTATGGTGGGCCCAGTGGTGGTGGCGGTGGTATGCGTGGATCATCAAGAATGGGTGGTGGTGGCGGTGGTAATAATAATAATGGTGGCGGATGGGGGCCTATGGGTGGCGGTTCAAATTATGGCGGCGGTGCTGGCGGAGGTAATGGTTATCGATCAGTTGGAGGTGGTGGTGGTGGATATGGCACCGGTGGCGATTACGGTAATCGACCAGCACCGTATGGTGGCGGATACGGAGGTGATATGGGTAGCGGTGGTATGGTAGGCTATGGTGGAGGAGCACCTATGGGTGGAAACGGTTACGGAATGGGTGGATCAGGCCGAGGCAATTATAATGATAGTAAGAGAAAATTTCATCTGTTTTTATTTTGTTTGGCTATTCTCTTTTTGGCATAGATTTCGGTAACTATAATCAACCATCCGGGTTTGGTTTTGGTGAGAATTATGGATCATCATCAGGTGGCCCTATGCGACGTGGAGGAGGTGGACGCGGCAGCGGTGGTGCTCCTTATGGCGGTCGCGGTGGTGGTGGTCGTGGCGGATTCCGTGGTCGTAGTCAATAATATAAAAAAAAACAACATCGTTTAATATTTGTATCCACATTTTTTCTTTATACGTGTTTGTGTGTATATATATATATATATCAATATAGCGAACAACAACATACTGAGAATGGATTTGCTACCTTCGTTGTCTATAGATATCTATAGATTAATTGTTCGCATTGATCTATCTCGTTCTTCTGTTTGTTTTTTTTTTGAAAAGTACAATGTGTCATTTGTTGTCTTTACTTACTGTTATTATATATATATATATATATATATATATCAGTATCATTTTCCTGCAGAACTAAATAAACTCGTAATACGTGCGATGTATTCAATCGTCAATTGAGTGTAAGTTTTTATCTTATTCCCAAAAATGCTAATAGAATGACACTCAGAAACAACGACAGCTGAAAGAAAAATGAAGAAAAAACAAAGAAAGAAGAAAATGAATCCTTGATTAAATAACGAAATACAAAGACAACAGTGTCAACTCTGTACATAAATATATCACTGTTGTGGACCTCGCGCTGTTCGTCGTCGGGTTGTAGAAGAAAACAGAAGTTCCACACACAAATATTCAAAACAGAAAAAGAAAGAAAAGAAATGTAAATTAAACAAAATGAAAACGATCCCACGAATAGATAAAGTACGATAAGAACAAAAAAGTATTGTACAAATTAAATGATTGATGTTATATGAATTGAGACGGCTGTTGTCTAGATCATTTATTTAGACCCGACGATGAGGTGGTAGTTGTTGAACAGCATTCATAATGATGGCATGAGTCGTTCTGTTTGTATTAAGCTAGAGAGAAAATAATTTTTCATGCCAGTTCATTCTCATAGATAGAAAAATCAAATCATTCTTGTCTTTTTAATCTTCATTTAATAGTAACTGCAACATGATTAGTGCAAGTTTAAGCCTGAGAAATATACTATTTTTTCATAGAAAAAAAAACAAACTCAATTCTTCTTGACAATAAACTAAACTAAATACCTGTTATGTTGATAAATAAAGTTTCACTCTTGAATTTGTTCAACATAAAATAATGTCGGTTGCCGTACAATTGATTTTCTTCATGTTCTGCACATATTTTTTCTCTTTACCCAATCCATCCCATACGATTCACTACTACACCCTGAACTACATAACGAACGACTGATCAGCTTGTCGGCGATATTCTCTCTCTTTGTTTTTCTCTCTTTCTATTCTTCTTTTTTTTTGAGTAATACAAAAAAAGAAGAACACGATAGAAACGCAATAGTACGATATACATTTTCTTTTTCTCTCTTATTCACTTGCACCGTCGTTTTCGATGTATTAGCATAGATGTCTGGACAATGTACACGCAAGAGGATGACCGAGCAGTCAGCCGATGAAAAGTTATAAAATACAACTATCGAAAGAAAGAGAGAGAGAGAAGAACCAAATGTGCATAGGAAACAACTACCGCTATTGATGGTTTGTCGATATGCATATAGTTGTGTGCGCGCGCGCGCGTGAGTGCTAGTGCACAGACGTCTAGACAGACCGCTCTTCTAACCTATTTAGTAGTCATCGCCGTTGTGGGAAAAAAAGAGAGAGAGAGAGAGAGAGAAAGGACTACTAATGAATCTAGGCATGCCTATAAATATATACGTATGCAATAAGAAATGTGTGAAAAGAATGAAAATACAACAAAAACGAAATAAGACAAACTTGTATTATCAACAATTGGATATACGTGCATCTATTATTAGTCTATTGAGACAAAGTTTAAAATGTGCGTGTAATCGTTCTTGTACATATGAGAATGTATAAAATGTGACATAAGCGCCTAGGTGCTAGACAATGACACTACTATATTGAATTTGAATTTTGAATTTGAATTAATTATTTATATTGCATGTTAATATATATAATGATGATGATGAATCGACGAATGTAATTAGAAACAGAATTTCTTCTTTCAAAGTAAACAAAATAGATTTTCAGCTAATTATATTTACTTCTCACGCACGATTTATTTTGTGTAAGAAATATCGATAGATAAGATTTCATCGTTTTGTCTATGCATTCAAGTGAGAAATTTGATTTTAAATCTACTATAACAAAATGATAGATGTGTATCAATGAATTTTAAAGATTATTACATAGATAATTAGGTGAAATCTATTTTTGCTGCCCAAAGTATTCTTCGGAGCCAAACTAAAACATTCTAGGTCAATTATACCGGCGCCTGGATGTCCGGTATGTTTCCATTGAGTACTTGAGCACAGGAATCCGGCTGATCTAATTGATTTGTTTCCGAGAAGGACCGGCGACAAGATTCCTGCTTCTAATTTTTTTACATTAGCTAGAAATCAATTTGAAACTTCAATCATGTCAGTTTATTTTTATCATCAAATGGAATGTATAAATTTTACAGAAACAAAAAGAGAAATATGTACATAACAATTTGAGTAACAAACAAGCAAAATTAACTCGATCTAATTTTAATCGTTCTTTTTTTCAGATGCCGATTTTTCCGCTGGAGTTGGTACAGATACTACTATCTGACGATAATTATAAATAATTGCACACAGTATGATAACATTAACAAAGCCGAATACAATCGATGCTAACCAAATTTGAGCAAATGTATTTTTTCCTTGAAATTCTAATTGATACGCATGATACAACCACCAACCTTGTGCTGCTAACCAAGCCACAAGCAATAGAAATAATTTTTTCCATGTCAAATAAATATTCGGTAATAGAATTGGTATGAAAATGAGATACCAAAGAAAATATTGCGATGTTGTGACTTTATTAAATGTAACAAATGAAAATGTTAATGCAAATAGACAAAGTTCAAGTCTATCGTAGAGACGACAGGAAAATACTAATGTATTGAATATTTGTGGAATAAATGTAACAAATGGAAGAAGAGAATTATCTGGTCTTAAATATGTTAAATAAAAATACGGTGAAAAATTATGTCGAGCATCACGACGTGTTATATGATATAAATATGTTTCATGTAAATATGTATAACCATAACAATAATAGAAAATACCATTAAACATCAATGTTGTTAGTAGAAAAGAAAAAACAAGTTGAAAACGACGATATGTTGGATGTAATGACAATTTACCATCAACATGGAAGTAGAGTGCAAGCGAATAGATTACTGGATAGATTTTAAAATGAGTTGCTAATGCGAGCAGAATCTAAAATAAAAGCAAAATAAAGATAACCATTTTATAGCAAAAAAAAACTGACTCCTGTAATCCAAGTTCGTTCATTAGATTGTTTAGCATTGTAGAGCATTGCAAGTACAAGAGCAGCGACCATTGATTCGTAACTTCCACGCGTAGCTAGAACAGCAGACATAGGATTGTAAAACCAAAGTAATGCATATTTTTGCTGATTTATTGGTAAAATCCATCCAATTAATAAACCCACAAAGACATTACAAATGGAAAATAGAAGTTTTCCCCAATACTCATGAAGAAATAAATTCGGTGTTACTAAATAAGCAAGTATTGGTGTATAGCGATACGTTGTTCGCCGATATGGACTTTCATTTTGTAAAACATATTTCGCAGCATCGGTTACAACACGATAGTCAACATCCGTATATAAAGGCCCATCGTCAGCAAACTGTTTATCATGAAAATCTCCATAGACTATTAATAAAATATGTAAGATCAATGAAACACTTGCATGCACAATCAAGGATGCCATTTCAAAAAAGCGATGAAAAGTTATGTGACTTTGTTCGATTTTATTGAAAGGTTACACACCTGATAAAACGCCCTCTATACGATTTGATTGGACTAGATATCAACTCATTTATATGAACAACATTGAGTGGTGTGCGTGTGTAGGGGTATTCATTTTTAAGCAGGTGTGTTTCACTTTCTGCTTTTAATACAATAGAAGACAATATGATACATCGCAATAGCAATGAACACAATAGTTAGGATTACTAAATAGTAATTGCGGGGTATCTGTCAAACCAATATCCATCTGTTTTTCATTTATCATTTTCTTGTATTATCCATAAGTGATATTTGTCCAATAGAAAACCGTCTGTTTTTTAATAAATCATTCGATAGGACTTCATTGTTGTACACTTTGATAGACTAGTAGATTTTACCAGTGTCAACAACTTGAAGGAAAATTTCCCATCTGTTTAAATATGCTACGCCATAAGATTTTAACATATATAATCAGTTTTTTTTTTTATAACATTAGCAATCGTTTTGGTAACTAAAGATCTTAATTAAACGTTACTCTAAGACAGCTCAATCGCGAATGGTTACATATGACATAAAGTTGTTGATAAATAGAAAAACACTTGAATCGTTTGGCCTTTTGCTAAAGGTCATTTGTAATGTGTTTGTTAGACGTTTGTATAAACTACTGAACTTTAATTGAATTTTATCATCTTTTGTATACTACATGATTCTATTTCAATTAATTCAACGGGTTGTTCGCGTAGTTATGATATTATATATATATCGGTTTTGCTCATGTTGGTAGTGTTTATGATTGAAAGCTTCATTGAAAACAAGGACACATGAAAGTATAGAATAGAATCGAGCGTCCATCATATAGCTGAATATCTTTCTCTATCAAATGCTTTTGCGTTAGCTTTTATATGAGATAATTTTGTTTTAATTATCCATATGGAAAAGAAAAGGTCGCCACAACCGGAAATAATATTGGAAAGCGATCTGCTATTAACAACCCTGGCTGATTGAAGTAAAAGTTGACTATTTCTTCTTGTCGATATTCCATAACAACTGCCTTGTTAAAAAGCACGCAAGCTAGTAACTCAGCATCTGTTATTTTTCCAATGATTAATTAAAAAAGCATACGTTTCAATCAGGCGGAAACGTACCCGCAAACGGTTCTTCTTGAATATTTCGAGGTTTCCATCGTATGAAAATCGACACGTACGAGTCGATTGCAATTCGATCATGCATTTGTAAAGTGTGCACATCAAACAATAGTCTTTTCTTTTTTTTTTGTGCTAAATTCGTGGTTGATGTACAATCTGATAAATCATCCTTGTAGGCCGCTGTAAAAAAACAAAATAATAAAACAATTCAATGAGCAACATTCCGCCGCTACTGATTTATATCAAGAGTTGAGCTGAAAATGAATTTTCTTTACCAACAAGATTTTATCGCACTGCTCATCTACGTGTGTGTGTGTGTGTTCGCTTGATGATGAGCAGAACGTTATTCACCTTTGATCTATCGTCTTATTTGTCTTCGTTTAGTATGTGAAAATTCTTTAAAAAAAGAAAATAATTAGCCGACATTCTATTTTGCGTTGGATACACATTAGATAACAACTTCTTTTTTTCTGCGCTCTCTTCTAATATATGTCTGTTGAATTTATCAGTACAAGCAATCATTTTTCTTATAAATTCATTGGTGGTGCTTCTGCTTGCTGTCGCCTGTTTCATTTTGTAACTGGAGCTTACCGAAGCATACATAAAAATGTCCGGTGCATTGACTTGAAAAGATCAATAGTAGGCGATAACAAGATAATGTTCTGCGATTAATAGTTTTTTCTTCTTCTTTTTGCTTTAACATAATCATTATGATTACTAAGTCTTCTTCGGTTAAAATCAAATGGAAAACTATCCCTAGGTTGAATACCTTCTTCTCCTCCAAAAAAGACAAGAACACCTGCGATGATAATATAATTTTCTTTGTTGCTGAATACGATGAATTCAATGGACCATCCGAGTTTTGTTTTGTTTTTCTATCCATATGGATTGCTCGTCTTCTCCAGATATGAGAATGTCTAAAAATGATTGATCGAGACCGAGCGGTGGACGACGTCAAGAAAATTATATACGAATTATTATGTATATGTGCATGGCAAATCCATGCCTGCTCAGTTGTTACTGGCATGGTGGTGCCATTAGAAAGTCATTTTTCACGCCAATATGCACCTTTCTGCTTGACAGACACATAAACCTTTTAGAAATCAATAAGAATATGTCGAGGAAAACGTTTTTTTTATGTCAATATATACAGAGAGAGAGATAGAAAAAAAATGTCAAATCAACCATTGTCTAAAAACTCCTAGCCTCCTTTGTCTAGGTTGACGTAAACTGGCGTTATGCCTTTTCTATTAGTGCATGCCAACCAAAAGAAGAATATTACAATTAGTCGGCATATAATACATTCGTAATTTGTTGAGAATAGAAAGTTTTTAAAAATCCATATACGCTATTGTGTGTACATCTTCACAGCATTGTTAATAATTACATTCTATGCCCTTTTTCTATTCTCGTATATAAATATATACAAATGTCGCAAACTCAAAATTGATTTTTTCTTTTAAGCATTTCTCTACTTATATTAGCATCTAATAACCAAACTAGCGTAGACGACAAGTGTTGAAAGACGAAATGTTTATATTTATAGCATTGGAATTCGCAACAACAGACCACCCGGTGAGGGTGGAAGTGATGATGGCTATCATCATCATCGTCTCTACTTTTTTCTCGCTCTCTCTCTCTCTCTCTCTCGTTCGAACAATCGTGCTATATGTCAAATGATAATTAGAAAAGATGCTTTCCTTTTTTTTTGTATATTCCCATACGTTCGCTTTCTCAAGCCACTCTACTACTGTTCCACGTGTTAAATAGATCTATTCATTTTTCTATTCTATAGACGGGATGCATGCGCGCGCGGATATATACATATCTATTTCTGGGAATCATCTGTTAATACTCATTTAGGTTCTAATGATATTACTGATTGAACAATAATCGTTTAGATCATCAAAAGGTTTCTTCTTTATTTAAATAGAAGAAAATTGAAAGTATTATCACTCATCCTGAAATATATCTACGATTAGTTAACATCAAATAAAACAAAAAAACGAAGTTATCTCCATGGGGAATTTATATAAATAGCAAGACTCAAAAACAAAAAGAAAAGAATTTTGACTGTTAATATCATAAACTTCAATAAAAATAATTGTTGCCATTAAATGATTCGTTACACATGAAGATGAAAGATCTTATTTCTGGTAAATCACTCAAACAATTCGCATGGCTTTTTTTGTTCGCGATGTTGATCGTCGCTTTAAGAGAAACAAAAAGATCGATTTATTGATCGAATGTAATATGTACAAGTTAATTTTTTTCTTCTTTGACTTACTGTCATCTGTTCCTTACATAGGACTTGTCAATCAACAAGCAGTTTTTTTTTGTTGTGTTGTTGACTCTTTATCTATATCTCTATGATGATAAACAGCACACATCCACAAACGTTTTTCTTTAAATGATCAGTTGTAATAATAGTAACAGACGCGTTCATATGTATCAATTTATGTTGATCATAATAGACAAGCGAGTATAATAAATGAGCAGGTTGGCAAGTAACAGTACAGGCTACCAAATAATAGCCAAGAGAAAAGGGCAAAATAAATCGATACTTGTTCGCTTTCTAGTTTTTTTTTTATACTATAAACAATTATGGGTAATTCCAAATGTCGAATATACCAAGAAGAGAAAAATAGCTTATGATGAAATCTGTCGATTACTTTAAGTATAATAAGAAACAATATGATTGCTCTCTTTTATTCATAGTCATTATCGTCATAATCTAACATGCTGACTATCTTTTCCTTCGCGGGACTAGACAAACAGGTTATCATCTGCATCCATTCGTCTTTTCATATACTGCAAACGTCAATCTAAAATCAATATCGATTTGAGCAGCTGATATTCACTTAGTGTCTTATTTATCTTCGAACCTGCGGAAGCGGCAACAATTGAAAAGTCTGTTTTCTCATCATTAATAAGCGTTAAAGCGGAACTATGCTTATGTTCAATTTAACGGTTGCTCGACTTTTTTTTTATATACGAATGAAAGGAAAGGTGATTTATGAGCGCACAAGACAACAATCATTGCCGACAAGTCTTAAACCTTGCGTAAATTTACGATTTCTTGAAGTTCATAGAACAAAAGTCAATGTGTTATTCGTATTATTATTCTACTTTTCCTTTAATAATAATAATAATAATAATATAAAGAGAGAGAGAGAGAGAGAGAGAGGAATTTTAAAAAAACACAGTGCAACTATTAAAACGAAATGTGTGCGTGTGTGTGTTTGTTTGTGCGGAGGTCAATTTAATTAAATAAATACACAAAAATTGAACAGGGAACACAACAATAACAAGAAAAAGAAAACTACTTGCCAAATACTTGAAAAAAAACGAGGTCAGATCGAAAATCCAGCAGTACTGGTACAATCATCAGTGTTGTTGCTAGCTGTCGTTTGCTGTAAACAATTTTCCATATGTTTATTAAGTAGTGACATACGCGAAAATGTTTTTGAACATTTTGTACATCGATATTTTTTCACATCCGAATGGGTTTGCATATGCGCACGTAAATTTGATCGATCGGCAAATGCTCGACAACAGATTTCACATTGAAATGGTTTTTCGCCCGTATGAGTGCGCACATGACCTTGTAATAACCATGGGCGAGAAAATGCTTTACCGCAGATTTTACATTTACACGGTAATGTATGCGTACGTATATGCATTTTAAGTGCACCTAATGAATTATAGGTTTTTTCGCAAAATTTACATTGAAATTGTTTTTTTATTTGGGCTATACAATGAAATTGTTTATGTTTAGAGAGTCCACCGAATGTTGAATAAGATTTTGAACAACCATCACATTGATAACGTGAATTTGCTATTGAAGATGGTGTTGCTGGACTTGCTGTTGTCGTTGTTGTTGTTATTGATGTTGCTGCTGTTGTTGTGGTTGTGTTTGGTGATGGTGAAGAAGATGAGCAAGATGACGATGAATTTATTGTTAATGTTGAAGATGAAGGAAGTTTAGTAGTTACTACTGGTGGTGGCATTTGACCAGTTTTTAACATTTGCATAGCAAAATATTGATAACTAAGATAGTAAAGATAGGAAAAATCATTTGTAGACATTAAACGTGGAAATATCGTTGACGTTGATGTTGGCTTAGGAAATGCACGATGTAATTTTGAATCATTTTGAATTGTTTCTTCCATTGAAATATCATTTACGGAAATAGTTTCTTCTTCGTCATCTTCAGTTTCAAGACTTGTATCAGCAGATAAGAGATTTGAAATAAGAAAACTTTTACGAGTGTCGGATTCTATAAAAATGAGAAGAAAGAATAAATTAAAAAAAATGTTTTTTTTTCTGTCTTTTCAATATAAAATATTACCAGTCATTGTTTCGTCTTCAACAATATGGCTTGTTGTTCTACTCATCATTATTATTATTTCTTCTATTTTGATAGAGAAGTATCTTGTCTTTTTTTCTCGTTCTCTTTCTCTTTTCTCTCTCTCTCTCTCTCTCTCTCTCTATATATATATATATATATATATATATATATATATATTTTCTCACTTTTTATTCGTGCTCTTCTTCTCTCTTGCGTCGCGTATTCTGATAGGTTCTTTTTTCTGTTATTGTCAAAGCATATCGCACTGACTCCGCTGCTCCTTTTGCAATTATTCAACCAGTCAGTGCTTAATTATCGATGATCGTAGTGAAGCTTTATTTCCGTCTCTTCTGTCTCTCGTTCTCGTTATTCCGGCATAAGTATGTCGTTATTCAGAGAAAAGTGCCAGCTGATGAGAGTAGTAATGTAATTTCTTAGCCGGAATTGCTCCATTTGATGTATGCTATTATCGAACCAATAGAAAAAAGAAAAAAAGAAATGTATATAACGATGATTATCCGATGCACTTGTCGACAACTTGTCCAATGAGAAGAAAATACTGAATTACAAACCAATTAGATTTATATAAAATGAAGTCGTTTGTCTTAGTAGCAGTAGTCTTCATTCAATATTTGTTTACGAAAGACGATATATACAATGGTATGCGCGTGTTGTACATCAATCTACACGAGAAAGTCAATCAATCACTTCGTGTATCATTCTGCATTATATAAAGTTAAAATTTAAAATAAACATAGCAATGAGGAAACGGCGCGAAGATGGTAACGCCTTTTGACACCAATTATGAGCGTGCTTGTTGCTTATTCATATTATTCGAGATGACCAAAGCAATATTTAGTAAATAAATAAAATTCTTGTTGAGAAAGGAAGACGAAGGTCGTGATTTAGTATCTTAATTTCTGTTCAGTTAGATATAGAGGAAGAACATGACTTTTTTCTGCTTAGTTGAAAGGTGCTAACTAACTAATCACAATTGAAAAGGCACACATCTCTCTACTCGGCAGGTAGCAAAGATACAGTTAGTCTTCTATCATCATTAGCTTCGTTCGAAGTATGAAATTTCCTTTTTCTTCACGTCTTCGTTAGATATGTTCAAGTGTCCTCTTGAAAAAATGCACGAGACCACACCTTTCTTTTGTCATAGAATCAACATACATCGACAATAGTACATGTATGCAATGATCGTTGACTTTCGTGTGTGTGCTCCTCAGCGTGATGCTTGATTTCGTCATAAAACATGCTGTTTAATCCCGATGTTTCTTTCATTATTATATTAAAACGTAATGTCACGTAATTAGCAAGAGTAGCAGCTGTATCGACACATATCTATTATTGTTTTCAACAGACAAATCAATCCAAATAGTAATCGATTCTGTCCTGTGAAGTTTCATATGCAATGGTTTGCAAAAAAAGAACTTGCAGCAAATCTTTAGTCTGTGCGCTAGGGGATAGTTCAACTTAGATGGATTCATCAACGGGGAAAAGACGGATCTGGGATTTTCAAAATCCGAAAATCCAAACCGTGAATGATGGAATTTCCACCTGAATTTTTTTCATATGCAAGTCTCATGATTCTTAGAATATTCTAAAATTTTCAGCGCAAACGGATGTTTCCTTTTCGCAATAATGAATGCGCAAGAAATGTTCATTTCGCGGCACGGTCCGGAAAGCCAGTTTTTGTGAAAATTCAATATTTTAAGAAGAAATCGTTTGTTCGAGCTGAAACGTTTAGGATCTTCTATGGACCATGAAACCTATATATGGGAAGAAAATGCTTTTCAATTTTAGGATTTAAAATTCCAAAAAAAATCCGTCGTTTTCCCCTTGGGATTCGTTCTTCCTTTAATGACAGAATAAAAGAACACCCACTTCCTAAGCTATTACTCGAATTGATCGTGAATTTTCCATATCACTTGATAATCTCGTCTAATAGATTGTTCTTATTTTCAGCTCTATTGGACAGTAATAGCAGATTTTCAACCGTTGCATGGTCGATATTTTAGAAAACTACAAAAATTCTGATCTTATTTAAAATAATGCAAATACAGAAATATTATGTGATTTGAGACAGCGTGCCTTTGTTTATATCATGATACAATAGAACTTGATCAAATCGAATGATTTGTTTATCGTTGAAAAATATTCCGTTTCAATTTGCACTGGATTCTATGAATAGCATCTATCTCGTAAGATCCAACGTTGAACTAGAATGATATTTGACTCTCGAACAAGTGCTATTAGTCAATTTTCTTTTTCTCTGACTATTTCCATAATGGAATTTGCGTTGTTTATGGTTCTTTTTTTGAAAAACAAAATTGAATCATCTCGGAAAGCATAGTTTAGAAATCGTCAATGTCTCGTATTTATATTTACGTCCTTTATTGTTTACCTAACTGAATCAATTATTTTTCTTGTTTTCGCCGGTTCGACCATAATTCAATGACATCTTTTCTCTATATTATCGCTGCTGTCAACTTGATGCTATTAATATAGATTTTTATTTGTTGATGTATTCGCAAACAAATAATTTTCACTTCGAAATCACTCATTCATTAGAGAGAAGAAGAAATTCTCCTTGTTAATATGTAGTATTTTGTTTTTCTGTATAATACAAATATAAAATAATGTCAAAATCGACATGTCATTCTCGTTTGTCATCAACAGCAACAACACCAGATCTCGATGTAAATAACATAGAGTTACAAAATTTAATAGATTTTCGTAATCAAACTAACACAAACGATAAACGTTTTAATAATATTAATTATGTTCGGCATGTTTTACGAAAAGTTTTCGGCAGTCATAGTAAAAAATATTCATCGAGACGTTCAACAATATCCGACGATAATCTTACTGATCAAACGTTAACAATTGATAATTTAATGGCTCCAATATTAATACATCCATGTTTACAATATGATAAACACGAAACATTTTCCGGTAGAGAATATAAAAAACTAAAAATTTATTTAAAATTTAAATATTCTAGGTGAATTATTACTTGATTGGCTTTTAATACATTTTGAAAATCGTTATGAAGATATACCACTGATTAAACAAGTTATTTTACAATGTTGTACGTGCCTAATTGGCCTTGGCGTACTTCGAATAGAAGAAAACAATTCGGATAGTGAGTTGTTTCAAGTACGTAAAGAATTTCTTCTTCGTTTAGGGAGAGAAGAAAATAGTGAGAACTTTTGTTTTCTAAATTAATTTTCTTACTAGTACACAAGGGAAATAGAAACATGTTTGCAGTTAACTTGTTTGTTCTCGTATGATTCTCAGTAGTTACGATTTTTTCCTTCTACATATGATTTTGTTTTCAAGAAATATTAAGACTTAATCATCTTAATTGGAAATAGTTTTATTCGTATGTATGTTGTCGAACAATCATGCATGGTAGAAGGTGTAAAAAAGCCTTGTCAGATGATGAAGGTAATCAATTGTATTTTGTATAGATGGATAAGGTAGAGGTAAAAAGTGTAAGAAACCATCATTCGTTTTTGTAAACTGATGTAAAAAAAATGGTCAATGATATCGACATAATTGGACGCGATATGATACGTTTTTGATGTGTGAATGACATAAATTGTTTGACAAACACATTTTTCTTTTCCTATAACGTTATTCTTCAAGTTAATAGTGTGGATAGGCGCGCGCGCGCGCACCCTGAAATAACCTGTCCGAATTGAATTAGATATCATTATTTATCATCTCACCTCGTTATAGAACGTTATCGCTCTGTTTGTATAATAGTAGATATCATCTTCTCTTTTTTTTTACTCATTCGTCTTTCTATACATATTCATAATTATAGACGTTAATTTCGTTTCTTTTTTTTTTGGGAAAAAAAAAGAAAGAAAACGAACGAAATATGAAGGTTAATAATCCGCATTAATTCAAGTTTCTTTTACTATTGAATCAATATATTAATAGTTGTTGTTGTTACCAATTTTTGCCTTGAATACAATGAATATAGTAGCCTTGATGTTCAACATATCCATTCTCAATTAAGGTATATACAAGTCTGACAAACTTTCGACATTGAAGATATCCATCGATGTAGATGTTCGACACTTACAGGTGCCTGTAGAACGTGGTCTATGCATTTAGTTCAATTAACAGGCTACAGCATGGAAAAAAAATATAAGGCATAACTATGAAGGATATTAAAAACAGAAAAAGCAAAAAAAAAACGAGACGAAATGAATGCGATTCATTGATAAAATATTATTTCTTTTCTTTTGAAAGCTATGCACTAATCGAACTGTCAAATCGTTGTAAAGAATATGTTAATCAAGTTTGTTTTATCGGGATTGTACTGATATTTCCTTGAATGTTAATAGAAGCTTTTGATCGTCGTTGTTTATCGATGTAGATTTGTCGAATAATCATTTGACACGAACAGATCCAAAAGAAACAACCAAGAAAACATAAAAGAATAAGTTTAGCAAAGATAAGACGATGAGTTGAAATGTAAGATTTACTAAAATGAAAATATTCTTCATTAGTTGCTTCTAATGCATTTGTTGAATTAATTGTTTCAATTAATATTCGACTTGTTACCGGATAAAAGATTGAAATTAAAAAAATAACACCGACAAACATGATGCTTTCTTTTTAAAGAACTGAATATCATATACAATATAGACTTAATTTATGACGCAATGCCTCATTGCTATTTTTTGTTGTCTATTCCAAGAATAAAAAAATTAACGGGTTTTTGTCTTGTTCGCCTCCACTCTGAATCGTCCTGTTAAATGTCACCATCAATATTAATGGTCAATGATTTCCTCTCATTCTTTCATCTAGGCACAAGATTTATACTCATGGGCAACTAATAATTTAGAAAATGAAGATACAGATATCAGATTATCATCGTCAACAATCGCCAACGATAGTGAGTTTTTATGTCTCGTGAACATATGTGTTTGATATATTGTCTTTCATTGTGTTGATGACGGTGTAAGGTGTGAAGCTTTCTGTCTTCGTGTCGAGTGTCAAGGATGTTAAATCGATGTCGTTCTGTGTTCTAGTCAGTAAAGTGTGACTGAAGAAGCGAATGAAGCAAGCAAACAGGTATCATTGTCGATTGCTCTTTTGATTCGTTTGTAACACAATATTCTATCATTTATATCTCTTATTGATCTGTTCATTTCTCTCTTTCTGCCTTCATTTTCATACTAATCAATAGAGAATATCAACCTCTTTCGCTTTTCTACCAATATACTCACAAATATGAACAAAAAATTGAGACCTTCATATATAAACGAATGTATTCTTTTTCTTTTTTTAATAGTTAATCGTCATCTGATTGAAAGCAAAGAATATAAATATAAACCGTCGACAGGTACAACCATTTTGGACATTCTTAGAGTAAGTAATATTTATGTAGAGAAAAAGAAGCTATTTTTTCTTATTAATTTCCGCCTTAAGAGTGAATACAATTTTCATTCCGATGTCTCCCAGATAGAAACCAATTCTGTATCAATACAAGTCGATATAAATACAATTGAAAGATCTATACAAACAGATTCATCGATTATTTCTTCTAATGAAGTAATTAAATAACATAATAATAATTACGATTATTATTATTGTTCGTGTCTTTTTTTTCTCGTAATTATTTAGGCATGTTTAATACTCGATTTCGATAAAATGTCATCGTTTATTGTATCGAAAACCGATTCGAATAGTAAACCATCATCACCCATATTACATCGTGTTGATGAAAATACTGTTCGACAAGCTATGCACAAATTATTTTTGCATGATAATATAAACGATCCATTGTCGCCCGGTGATGATGACGATGTTCATTCACCTGTTTTATCCACAAATTCATTCAAAAATAATAATGCAAAATTTTCAAGTAATTTTTGAAAGTCAATTTCACTTTTATTCGACTATAAGATAATCATTGTCTCCATAGGCGAATTATTATTGGAATGGATAACACTTAATACTGACTCAAGAAATACGAATTCGCAAGCATTGCTAGGACAGGTTCATTCGTCTCTGCAACCAAATAGTAACATCCCTTCAAATGGTAATAATCACAATATGAATAAAGTAAATAGAACATTATTCATATACACTTGAAATAATTGTCCACAAAAAGGTTTCGACTTTACTTATGTCAACAAATCAAACTATACCACCTGTTCACAAATTATCTTCTCATCATAAGATCAACGAAGAGATACGTTCACTTCTATCAGATCTTATTATTCAAGTTGATAAAAAATTAACAGCAGCGCCGTTATTGATGTTAGTATTATTTCAACGCACTGAGCAAAAATCCAAAGTATTTTTATTTGTCTTACAGACCACCACCACCACCACCACCTCCTCTTCCTCCTCCACCGCCTCCGCCGCCACCATTTATTGGATCTGCCATACCACCACCGCCGCCTCTACCACCTTCAGCAATGGGACCTGGCATTCCTCCACCGCCACCACCGATGATGCCAGGCTTTGGTGGTACAAAAAAGAACGTTTATTTTTTTTTCATTCGTCTATAACCGAATTTCTATTTTAGCACCTCCACAATTACCACAATATTTATGTAAGAAACAAAAATATTCTGTTACAGAACCAGTTAAAAAGGTTCAATGGAGTAAAGTTAGTACAAAGTAATTTTTGCTTATCTTCTTAATTTTATTAATTTATGTCATACTCTAGATCAATCCATATACGATAAAAAAAGATTCTATGTGGGTCAATGTCGACGAAGGGAAATATGTCAATGATTCTCTTTTTTGCGATATACGAAAAAATTTTGCGAGCAAAGCCGCTCCAAGTATATCATCATTAATTATTGTATTCGATTTGCATTAATATTTATAAATGTATTCTAGGCAGACAACCAATTAATGATCTTGTTGATAAATCAAAAGAATTGCGTGTACTTGATGCTAAGGCCGCACAAAATTTCGGTACAATTTTTCTTATTTTATGCGAATGCTAAAATGACTGGTTGTTGTCTTTCTAGCCATTATGTTTAGTCAATTAAAAGTATCGCCATCAGTATTTCGTGAATGGATGCTTTCATGTGATAATGAAAATTTAAAATATGATTTTCTTAAACAATTAGAAAAATATTTACCAACAAGTGAAGAATTGAAAATATTAGCTGACTATAAAAATGAAAATAATGATCTACAATATTCTGAACAGTATTTTTGTACAGTAAATTTCATGAGCACAATTTTAATATTCAGATCTGTTTAAATTTTCTTTATCATAGATCGGTGATATAAAACGATTAAAACAACGTTTGAAAACGCTTTTATTCAAAGCGAATTATAAAGAAACAGTAGAAGAAACGGATAAAGTTAGTAAAAATCTGTTTGAAAATATTTATCTTTTTTTAGTTTATTAGGCATTTGTCGAAGTTCGTAATGCGTGTAATCATGTGCGACATTCCGTACGTTTTAAAAAAATGCTTGAATTAATTTTAACAATCGGAAACTATATGAATTCAAGTGCGAAAACCTATGAACCTGTACATGGATTTGATATCAGTTTTTTACCTAAAGTAATTCGGTGAAATTTTTTCTTTTCATATCTACACACGTTTTTATTGGTTTAGTTGCATTCAACTAAAGCAAATGATGGTCGTCGTTCGTTACTGCACTTTATTGCACAAGCCATCGAAGATAAACATCGTGATTTACTTTCATTTTCTGACGAATTCTATTTACTGGCTGATGGTGTATCGAAAAGTAAATGAAATTGAAAATCGTTGTTTTTCTCTTTTCAATTGACATTCTATTTCTTGTCTTTAGTTAATATACTTGAACTGCAAAAGCAACCGCAAGAAATCAATCGGGAATTGAAAAATGCTCGAGAAGAATTAGCTATAGCAAAAGAAAATGACGAACCCATCGAAGGAGATCGTTTTGCTGAAGCTATTGAAGTAAATTAAATATTTAGATGAAGTTAATTATTTGTTTATTTTCATTCATTCAAAGGAATTTATTATTCGTGCTGATGATGACGTAGCTCGATTGGAACAGCTCGATCGAGAAATGACTCATTCTTATCAAAATCTATGTGATTTCTTAGCAATTGATCCAAAAAATTATTCACTGACAGAGTTTTTTACTGATCTAAAATTATTTTGTACTTTTTTTTCGGTAGATACTTTTTCGGACTTGTTCTATTTTATATTTTCTTTTTATTATTATTATTCAAGACTTGCCTTCAAGATATTCGAGTATGGCGTGAACAAGCCGCACGTGCCGCTAAAACAACGTAAGTATAATAACTCATTATGAGAGACTGAGAGAGAGAGAGAGAGAGAATAAGAAACAAAATTATCCTTGAGTGAGAATCAGACAACAAAGATACACTCACTTCTAGTCAAAACCTGATGTCAACGTCACAATATTTTGTACGCACGCCGTCACGTCGCTTTCCTACTCGATCGGATTCAACGGATGATTTTCTCTTGGCGGCAGCCGAGAGTGGTTTGTCGCCGTCGCGTGGTACATCTCCATCTAATACACATCGTCGACAGGTAGCGTTCCGAAATGCATGCTGACGCTCATTTTCTTTTTTCTAAAAATAAAACAATACATACAGATAAATGCATGTATTTTGTCTAACTAATATCACGGCTACAAAAGGAAATTAGATAAAATCATAAGTGTTGTCTTTCTATATTTATTTCGTCTTCTTCTATTTAGAAATATTCAATTATATGTCGAGAAAAGGATTCAAGAGATTCCCGATGATAAACTTCAAATCTCTCGACGGCCATCGTCACGTGTTGAAGATTTAATTGAGAAACGTAAAAAAAATCGTGGGCTAACGCCACCAACATTGCCGTATAAAAAACGATCTCAATCATAGAGAATGATATATATATCTTCTTTGAAACAAATCATTTTTTTTTCTTTGTTTGTTTTTGTGTAAACGTGCGTCTGCTATTTTTTTACCTGTTATTCACTTAATTTTATTTCTCTTGATTGATAAATAAATTTAGCCAAGATATTGTTTATGATATCGTGTACAAGCCTATTGAAACGAAAACTAAATGAAAATCTCTTGTAAATTACAGATGAATGCATAGTTTTTCATCTAATTTCATTCGATCATTGCGTAATATGCATCTACAATTACCTTCGTCGTTGAAAGGTATGACGAAATTGGATCGTGATCAATTCACACAAGTAGTCACTGTTCCGTTTGTCAATGTTCCCGTTGAATGTATCCAAACAGCAAAATGGAAAAATGCCTTATTAACGTTGCATTTGTTTAAAAATGTTCGTGATTTAGATCCGACGTCGAAAACACATAAACAAGTTCTGTTTGATCCCGATGTAATCAAAAGCAAAGAGGATGTGATCAATGCGGTACCATCGATTACAAAATACGCCGAAGAATCATTTGATTTTACTCCAATAACATTGACCTATGCAAATTATTCGATTGAACAAGTTATTAAAGCAATTCTGCCGGATGATTTAGGAAAAGACAAGCCGATTAATACAGGATCGGGCTATAGTCTTATTGGACATATTGCACATTTCAATTTGAAAGATGCTGTTCTACCCTATAAACATATTATCGGTGAGTTTTTTCTCGTTGAAAATAAAAATTTATATTTATTAATTTTCTAGCTCAAGTTGTTCTCGACAAATTATCCAATGTGAAAACTGTCGTCAATAAACTACATGAAATTGATTCTGTTTATCGTAATTTTGAATTAGAAATAATTGCCGGTGAACCGAATACAATTGTGAAATGCCGCGAAAGCAAAGCAACATTTCAATTCGATTTTGCCAAAGTTTATTGGAATCCCCGATTAAGTACTGAACGTGAACGTATTGTGAATATTCTTCACCGCGATGATTTTATTTTCGATGTATTTGCCGGTGTCGGACCCTTTGTTGTGCCAGCTGCAATGCTTGGTTGTACTGTTTACGGCAATGATATTAATCCGGAATCTGTTAAATGGATGACTGTAAATTTAAAAGCGAATCATTCGAAAAAATCTCGAAATGAATATCATGTATTCAATTTAGACGGACGAGAATTTTTACGGACCATCGCATTTCCACGTATAGAAAGTTATCAACAAGAAGTTAAAGGTGATGATGAAAAAAAATGGTGTTTATCAAGTAATAAAATAGTGATCTTAATGAATCTACCAGATATTGCTTTGACATTTTTGGATGTTGTTTCCGAATGGTTATCAAGTAGTATTGACGGCAGCGAACAGTGGATATTACCTGTTCATATTCATTGTTACACATTTTCAAAAGCTGATAATCGTGAAGAAGATATACGAACGCGGTTGAAATCAATCTTACCGAATGTGAATGATAATCAAATCACATGTCGATTTGTTCGACAAGTTGCACCGAATAAAGATATGATGTGCGTTCGCATTGTGTTATTTGATAACAAGAAAAACGAGGAAGAAAATCCTACGAAAAGATTTAAACAAGATTCTTCAGAATAAAGATTTCTTTTTTCTGTGATAATCTCTTTGTAAAAGAAAATTTTCTTTGTTATACGTAAATAAATTAAGACGGCAATAGAAAAGGCATTTTACGATAATATGCTGCATCATTCAATGGCAGATTAAGTTTTGATTTATTGATTAGAACTTCTTCTAAACATTGATAAGCGATCGGGTCAGTTTTTAATTGAAATTTATTGGCGAATAATTCATGTCGATTGTATAAAGTTGGTAAATCAGCTGTACTTAATATACAAATACCGTGCACGACAATCCCTTGACAACCACGTTTACCCCAAATAACATAACGAGCTGTCCATTGTGTTGGATCAGTTTTTGCTAAAATCAGAATTTTTCGTTAATGAACTCATTAGCTAAACATACAAGTTTACCTTTATAGCCGCCCGGAGCACGCAAATGTGTATTATAATTTAATGTTGCCCAATAGTGTTCATCAGGACTAAATGTATCACGTGACCAATCCAATAGTTCTTTTGCTATTGGACTTTTTTGTACAAATTCAACAAACGCACGAGAAAAAGCACCTTAAGAAAAATTTCAATCATCACTGATTTTATATTATCAAAAAAAGGCTATCGTACCGTAGGCTGACCCTTTCACAATTTCAACATTACCCGGTGGAAGTTTCTTTTTTTGTTTCGTTCTTCGTAAATGAGATATGTAGGAGGTATTGTTGGATTCGATTACTTCCCACACGTAGTCAGTTCGTAGAGCATTTCTTGATTTCCATCGTCCTTCAATATCATTATATCCGCGATAAATCGATAATATTTTAACTAATTCACTATTTGTTTTTAATGGTAATTCTGTATTGGCAATATTTAATAAATATTTCCATGATGGATATTCAATTAGATCGTTCATGCAATTTAAATCAGCTTGCAATCTTGAAAATGTTGCATAAACCACTTTTTCTCGTTTACTCGATAGAAATATATTTTTAAAACATTGCACGATCGCTTGCACACCTTCCACTACATCCAATGATGCGTCACTATCAACGTGAATACAATAGAAATTTTGCGGACGGTAAATTATGCGCAGTAGTCGTTCGAATTGTTCAACATTTTCATACAGAAGAATATTAAATGCTAATGGAAATTGTCTATTGATTGAACTGTCTGCGATATGAAACGATTCATTAAATCGTTCTGAACGATAAATAGAACATTGTTCTTTTGTTATGTTATATCGATAATTTGCAATTAAAGATATCTTTTTTGTACGAGATAAAAGTGTAAGCGCATTTTTTAATTCAGTTGGATCACTTTCAAATAATTTTTGACAAGATATCGGGTAATAATATGGCTGAACGAATAGTTTATTCGTATTTTTCGATAATTTGTTATTGGAGAGTTGAATAACTGATACATTGAAATTAACTAGTGAAAAAAGTGTTGTTTGAAACAATTCAAAAATAAATAAAAGACCAAGACATAGTAAGCAATTGTGTTTCAGTAATCGACGATTGATTGTAAACGCCATTGGGCATACTTTTATATGAGTAGAAAAACAAATCTATAGCAAATAAAAAAATGATGCAACCAATCATAGTATATTTTGAGAAATGAAAAAAGTGACACAACGTAGATTCTTTTTTTTTCAAGAAAAAGCCTTACGCAGGTGCTCATTTCTTTTCCTGTTCTTTCTTCCTTTCTTTATGAACTCTGCTCGAGCTAAATATGTTTGTTCTCATGATGAATATTTAAAAACATAAAGTGCAAACAGAACGTAAAATCGATCGGGTTATATTTTTATCAGTGAAAGTAATGAAATTGAGACAAAGTAAAATTTTTGTTGATATCATGGCAAGATAAGATGTACTGTTGCTTCGTTCTTCTTCTCCTCACATACCAACGAACTCTTATGACCTCAGTACACAAAGAATGAAAACAAAATGACCTGATTATAAAATTTGATACTTCGTGTGGAACGATTTAGGTAGTCATTTGTTTCTGATTTTTATTTGCAAAGATATTACAATAGGTTGCGAACAAGTAACATGAATATTTACTGTCGTCAACAACGATTCCAAACTTAAATTTGAAAATGAGTATGAAGTAGAATGTTTCATAGAAATTATTCAGTTCTATTTTTAGAGTGAGATTCATTATGAATGTGTTTCTATACTGAATTTTTCATACACATTAGCTTATCACCTATTCATAATAGGCGTGACTTTACGTCATGATATCGACCAACAATTCGAAAAGAATCAGCTATGATGAAATATGATCAGTTGCTCTGCTGTATGATTGCATTTCATGTTTTCGTAGCGATGAATAAGTTATATTAGTAGCATTATTTGAATTGAAATAGATTCTATCATGTTTAGTAAACTTTTTCTTGGAAGACGCTTGTCCCGATGCAGCTAGCGATATCCGATTTCATTCGACGTCAATGAATTTTTTTCAAATTGTAGAAGATCGAGGCGAGTGAATAACGCTGATCAAAAATTTCTCTTTGATGCTACTTTGTATATTGATCTCTACTGAAAGAGAGCGTGAGTGGCAAGATTTTAAAAAATGGTGAATTTATAAAGTTAGTAATATTCTTGGAATAGTCAGTGCCATTCCTAGCTAGTAAGTAGAAAGTTTCCACTGTATAGTCGACAATACCTCTGAATTATTGAGATATATTTTGCTCTTTTACAATTTATTTATACAAGCTTTTCAAGTTGATAGCTCTCTTGTAGGTTACTCGTACAAAATTATCAAAAGATGTTTGTATTTAGATGAGAAGCAGAGTTGCAAGTAAACTGAAATGTCAGTTGGAAAATTCATTTTTCGAACTAGATGATGAACTAAGAGGTGAGACGGCTCAAAAAAGACTTTCTGCTTATTCGATGGAGTGTGAGTAGATAGTCTGCAGATGAACAAAAATAGGGAAATACAATCTGTTTTTGCCGAGGATCTTTCATGTTAGCAAAGGGCTCATGGTGATTGACATTCATGTGTGACAAAAAATAGGGGAAGCAAATGTGTATTAATTTGTCACATTTTATTTATCAAAACACGAACGGATACTCTAGACAAATCAAACAGCATTAGAGCATGCTTCTTATGAATTTCAGATCATACTATTTCATAGGGCTACCAATACACTTGATCAATCCAAAAGCTGTCAACAATAAAAAAATTCAGCTTCACCTGTAATCGGTATTCATTGTTTATTCGTTTATTGCAACGAACTAAGGTAACAAGCGAGAATGACTTCTCAAAAACAAAATGTACAAACGGATGGATCCATCCCTGCAACGCGTGACAAAAATAGTGTGAAATTTAGAGGAGGTCTCAAATTTATCTCCTCTTTACTCCTGCCATTCGCATTAGGCATCTTTACTGTTGGGGTTACTTTTCAACAGCAGAGTGCAGTTAAACAGCAACGTGATGACGATCGAGAAGCAGCTGAACAACAACATATCAATGATCGAAATGCATCTCAACAGCAGCGGGACCAAGAAAAACAAGCGGAGCTGCAGCTACGCTTGCTCAAGTTGAGATTCTGAATATCTTTCGTCAATTGGATGCACACGGGAATATTCGCGCTATTCGATTTCTCTACGAAGCGAAACAACGCACTGATACACCGGAGAATCGTTCGCTCGATCTTTCAACGGCAGAACTTAGTGATATTGATTTCCGTGAAGCATCGATCGATAAAAGAATATTGAATGATTTATTATTGACCGATGTTTTTCTATCGAATGCTACGTTTATAGGCATCAAGATGGCACATGTTAATTTTGCTCTTGCTCAGTTGAACACAGCTAATTTTTCATCTGCTGGCTTCAATAATACTAGCTTTGCATCCACTCCTCTTTCTAATACCATTTTCGCTGACGCTACATTTAAAAATGTTAATTTTTCATCTAAAAATATTCGCGGTGTCAATTTTACGCGTAGTACCCTCGTCCATGTCGATTTCTCATTCTCTATGCTTTACAATGTTGACTTTTCATCCGCTTCGCTTACTAATGTCAATTTTTCACACGCGCAACTCATTAATGCCAAATTTCCATCTGCGACCCTCAAGGGTGCTGATTTTTCAAACGCTCAGCTCACGAATCTCAATTTTACATCCACTAATCTAAGTAATATTTTTTCCAGTATAACTGTTTTTTCTGATGCCATTATTTTGAGTACTCTTTAGTTTTATCCGATTTCTTTCATGCCAACGTATCTAATACGAATTTTCGCCAATCCAGTTGTGTTGCATCTAAATTCAATTATGCTTCACTATCTTATTGTAACTTTTGGTATTCAAATCTTAAGTACGCTGTATTTCACGAGGCCTATTTGAATCAAGCTAATTTTTCTCGTGCCAACCTTTATAAGAGTGATTTTACTAGTACCAATATTATGGAGAGTGAACTGAAAGATGCTCTCTCTACTGAAGATGCTGTAATATCAAATGGAACAATTGTTCATGATGAGAACTTGATCAACGAGGGTCAAACTGACTATAGTATTTCTCATATTAATGGTTGGACACTGAGCAATGGTAATGTCACTCCGGTCATATCTAACAAGAGTGGCTCGAATTGTCAGGTCACCTTACAATCACTCTATTGGAGCTACTGTGTACCAACGTGCCAGTTTATCAGATAAGTGGGATTCAAATTTTAGGACACATTCTGAAGCCGTACTAAGCGCAAAAATGAGTACCGGTGTATCGATAGAGTTAAGAGGAATCAAAGAGAATAATGCGGTATTCTCTATGGAAATTTTAAGTAAGCGTCAATATGCTACTACTGAATTTGATATATCTTGCGTTTACAGACTCGACTAAAAAGAAAATCAGTGTGTTTTTACACAACGACATGTGGGAACTTGAAGTGCTTATCAAGTTTAATGCTACTGCAAAGCTGAGCAAATTGAACAATTACTGGCGTGATGACATCAAAATTTACATAATCTATAGGACATATTTGGAACCAATGCAATGTAAGTACTGTCCCAGATATTTTCTACAGAGAGCAAATAGTCTATAGGCACAACTTGGATTTTCCTGCTGATGAATAGTGAGTTTTATATTCGTCAGATATCTAATTGACTTATGAAATTCTAACTACATAAGACATTTTCTCGAAAATATTCAAATGCTACTCCCTCAACTGTGTCTCTGATTTTATGCATACAATAATCGGCATGAAACATTTTATATTTAAAATAACATGTTCACAGAAGTATTGATTTATACTTGTGAATGCATTTTTTTACTGTAAGGATAAAACAGATTTCTTGAGCAGGCTTGGATTTTCAATTTCCAGGAAACTTTCAAAAGTGTTGTTTAATCATATACGTACGTTAAGACTTGAAAAAATACTTATGGTCGATGTGCTCTTCGTAATAATGTACAAACGATTCGAAGTTAAATGATTACTGAGAAAACCATCAATCGTGGTTCATTGAAAAAATCATAAAATTTAGGATTTTTCATTTTCATCTCTACCATTTACTGTTTTTCATTCTCACACACACTGATAACTGTGGACGATGTGATGTAAGACTGTCTATTCGACAATATCATTTATTTCTTTTAGCTCTAATCAAGAATACTTCTATTTTCTTCATTAGCTTCAGGCATCGATTTTCAAAAAATTAGACATCCTCTATTTTTCTTCTTTTTTTTTTACAAAATTCTATTTCTTGAAGCCACATTAGAATAAGTAGTTTGTATCGATAGGCTTATTGTCTTCTAATTCATATTCAGTTTTTAAGAAAAAAAAATAAGTATCACTGATAAAATAAGATTTACAAGTGCACTCAACTTTTTTCTTAGATATATTTTGATATTTCATACTTTTTAAAAATAGAGAGAAGATTTTTTTATCTTCCATTTCAGTTAACTATGTCTGCGATATGAACAGTTTGAGAAGAAATTTCATAGTTGCAACAAGTTTATCATCATTTAGTGAGAATTCGTTCCTTTCTGATATAGAATTGAAGCTTCATCTATAAAGTATCAGAGACGCTCGAGATTGCTTTTGAAGAAGTAATAGTCACGCTAGTCTTCTATTTGATCATTGAAATTTATTAGATTTTGCTAGATTTCCATAACCATTGAATGCTCGCACTACTTTTATCTAACGATCTACAAAAGGACTATAAAACAATAGATTAATATGCTTCGAATCTTTTCTCGATGTGTTGTTCAGCTAAAGGTACGATGAGAAAATATGGTTCCGATACGTCTAAAAGTTTTATTCTTATCGAGAAAACAAGCTATTTAATGCATTTACGGTTTTCTTCAATAGTGATTTTCAGTTGTACTAACGAAAAAAGTAATATCATCGATGAGCAGTGCCGTTTTAATATTACAAAAAAAACTATAAAACTGAGAGTAACTAATGGGAACCCCCATTTATCTAAACACTTAGAAGTCATAACATGTTGAAAAACATTTTCAAAGAAAAATAATGAAGATTTATTTACAGGATTTTTTTTTCTATAAATCCAATAACGAAACACTAAAATTGTCAAGCTATTTCTTGCTCTTTATATGTTCAGAAAAACTTCTCTTGTTCTATTATGGATTTATCGTATAATGAAATATTAAAATAAAAATAAAAAACTTTTTGTATCAATTTTTCAAGTATTTATTTCTCGTAAGGATGACTTTCTCAAGAAAGTCAAGGCAAGAAAAATATTTACTAAGAGCAAGCAGTGATAAACAAAAATTTGTATCTTCATACAAATACAGAAACGAATAAAAAATCTCGATTCGGTTTCAGCCTCTGATTTCCATAGAAGTTGCTATAGGAAAAGTTTACAGAGTTATTAAATAAAATCTGAAATACATTAATGCTTTTAAAACTAAACCCTGGTGATCAATGAGAGATCATATGTGCTACCTATGAATATAAGAAATATATGGGTGAATTGTACTAGTATTGTACCGTAGTTCTCCAAACACAAAAAACACTTATAGCTCAAGTTCTACTCAGTGTATTTGAACATTTTGTTTTTGAAAAACTCCTTAGACTCTATCCTACTTATTGTGAAGGTACCACATTTTTTGACTGTCGTAGCTATAGAATTTTTCAAAGAAGAAAACTCAAAATGAGTCCTTTTTGGTACAACTTATCGAGAAAAGTCATCTTTGTTTTCCTACAATTTTGATTCAATAAAAATCGTTTTCACCATTTCCTCTGTCTGATAATATAAGTTGATCACAACTTCTGTTTTGATTTACCGATAAAATCTAGCAGAAAGCATCTTAACATTCATTTTGACCATTTTATGTCACGACAGATTAATTTCAATGTGCTACAGTCAATTCAAAAGTAAGCGCGATCCTCTTTTAATGGTCAGTAGAGTGAGGAGGAAGAAATCTTTTGATCAAAAAAGGATTTTTCCAAAGATCTTCTGGATCGAGTAGAAATCTAAAAATAAGAGAGAAGGTATCAACTTTTCTACTATAAATGTCACAACAGATCTTTGATTTTTCACTAACTACAAGAGATTAGTCAATGAGTTTTTTCCTTTTTAGAGTGACTATATGATAAATCTTTGGTAAAAATTTCAGCTCTTCATTACGTATCGCTCACGAGAAAATAGTATTTTCCTCGAAAACTGCCACAACAAATGAAATGATAGATATTTCGAGAAAAAATAATTTTATTTCACCTTTGACTTCTACGGAAGATTTTAGCGTGTGGGTGTGAGTGTATTTATCATGTCTCAATACACACCCACACCCTCAAGATGAGGATTTTGTAAAAAGGAAATTGTCTTTTCTTTTTATGTGTAGATCGAAGAGCTATTTGCAGACCTTGTTGTTGTGCAATATCGGGGATTTTTTCACAAATTTCTGCTATCAGAAATGGAGGTATTTCAGCTATATGGTGATTTTTAGCCAATCTATAATCATAATCAAATCTTGTTTGTTCGCCAAATAATTTAACTAGATGATCTAAATCATCTATTAGAGTCTCAATAATTGCTGTGCGTACTTTGGGCAATTGTTTCTTGTCTAATTTAATTGTTGGTTCTATAATGGTAGTATATTTAGCAATGCTTTCGTAAAGTACGTCATGTAATGCGCTGAAAGGATTGTTATTTACATCATAATTGTCATTAAAAAGATTTCTTGTTGCAAGGTAGAAATCATTTGTTTTTTCCTCAATTTCCCCGAGTGCTAATTTGATAATTTCTTCATCATTACAATTCTTACATTCAATATTTATTTGTTTTAAAAAATTCATTAATAAACTTCCTTGGGTAACATCTAATATATTGTTTTTATTTCCCTCGGCTGAAGGGAGGGTCATATGAAAAAAACTAAAATGCGTTTGTATGTTTGCGGCAGGTCAAAAAAACATCGGTTATCGTGGACGTTATTTCTAAGCTTCTCATCAGTTTTTTTTAATGAAACTTTACCAAAGGTTTTCGGGGTCGGGGAATCCGAATCCGAAGTCTGATTTTTTAAATCTCGAAACGAATTTTCTAGATTTTAGTATGTTTAGGAAGATATTTAGGCTGTATCTAGTTTGGCCATAGATAATCGAGGTCTTAGAAGTTGTTCTTCATTTTGGCTATGATAATTTTGTCTTTGATTTTCGTAGAAAAACAGTGTTTTCGAGATTGTGAAGAATCATACAGGAATAACTGAATTTTGTTCTGGGATGAAGCGTACCTTTAATATCATTTCCAGATACGCTGATGACCAACTAGTTTCTAATGGGAATATTTTAGATCTATTTCATCTGGGAAGGGTTCAGTATTGAAATGGGAGTCGGCTGTCTGTTTGATGATACTTGATATTGAGAGTGGCGATTTTTGTTTCAATGCAGGTTCTCAGAAATGGTCACGAAGCACTCTTTGTTAGAAATAGATTTAATGAATAAGTATTATAATTTACAGTGTCAAGTGAAGAGTTCGTGCCTGCAGAATCGATTGTTTTTCAGAGTTTAACAAAACTGTAGTGGACTGCAGATTGTGAAATATGAGTACTGTGTGGTATGGGGGTTGTGCAGAGCAGCAGCTGCTAGGCGTGAGTGGTGCTTTACTGATGGGGACAATGGCCAGAAGCAGTAGACATGCATAAATATATCTCGACTATCTAGATATAAGTGGTTTCAAAATTGTTCAAAATTATCATCGAATTCGAGTGTTAAAATGAACTGAAGGATACATTACTTCTAGGAGTCGCTGATCGGGGAACTGCATTCAATGGGAATCATATCCTGGTTGTTTTCGATTTCCTCGACTCAATGGAAGGTTTAGCTTCCTCGAAGCACTCAAGAGACTCCTTATTTTTGAAGGATAGGTAGCTTTTTGCAGCCTTTCAAAAGAGTGTTTTCATACTACTGTCTGATTTGTATATTGATCATTTACTTATTTCTCAGTGTGTTCAAATAGGAGTTTCGATCACGAAAATTGAAATCTTTCTTCGCAGGTTGGGCACGACTTATTTTATTTTCCGTTCAAGTTTTAAATTATAGCTAACTATTTACCAAACAGGTTTTCTATGATTCATTTCTAAGTTCAAAAAAAACTTGATGTGGTGTTGTAAAGTGGCAAGTTATACGTCCTTTATTCTGGATGCACAATAAAATGGTCAGAAATATTGAGCGGGAACGCAGTTCGAAATTCTGTTGGATAAAAACTTTGGCGATATTGCTAACTGCATTGTTAAGTGGTCATGGGCTCTACGTCTTCTCTGGATGAAGTTACAATGATTATCTGAAATAGTAGAATCCAACTATGTATTAGCTGTAAATCATGTCTACTTTGATAAATTATGATGAAAGTTGTACTGAGAATGTTCCTTAATGTGGCCACGCATGTCTGAAAATTTCAGGCTGATCGAAACATCTTAAGTGGTATCATTCTTGATAGATGGGGGATTTCAGCTGCATAAGATTACTATTCCTCTATCTATGCAATTGGTAGCCCTGCTTGTATGCACTATACGATTAGTATTAGCATGATATTGTATACATTGTACCAATTCTAGCGACCTATTTATCCCTAAGTCACAACGCGCTCAGTTGAATTCAGGACAGATAGAAGCGTGAAAATGCGTATAAGATACAGTAATCTAGCATCAATTTTTATGTCAGGGTCTAAAATCATATCCATTCTTTTTCAAATACTGGAGAGTAGCGTTGTTGAAGCTTGGAAAGCAGTAAATTATATCGGAAGAGCACGACATACAGTCGAGGGTCAAGCGAGTCTAAGCAAAGAGCGCTACTTGTGATTAAATGTGCCTGAAAATGTCTATGTAACTTCAAAACTAGCATGATGAAAGCGAAAAAGTCGTCTTTCGACAGCGGACCGATTTCGGCTGTTAACGTCTGTATCCATTCAAAAACCTAACAACGCCATCGTGTTCCCCGACCCCGATTACCTTCGGTGGAACCTATCACTACAGATATTGTTTGAGATTTGTGAAGTTTATGCATCGGCTTTCCTATTGGACGAACGAACGCATTTAGCTCGTTTTTCGTAATACCCTCCTTTCAGTAGAGGGAAGAGAAGAAGAAAAGAAACATATGACGTAATCTGATATTTTAGCTTTTTTTTCTTTCAAGCGAAAGAGTAAAAGAAAATTTCTTTTTTTTGTTCATTTATTTCAAAGTATAAAAAAAGAAAAGAACGAAGAAAAAACAATTCACAAGTCTTATTCGATAGAAAATCGTTGTACACGATGATTATTCCAATCGGCGACATAGAGATTACAATGTCGATCGAAAGACAAACCAACGGGGCCGCGTAACTGATTTGCTCCTTCTCCTTGACCATTTCCACCCACAATTACAGTGCCTTGTTTCTTGTCTTCTTGAGTCCAACGCATTACACGATGATTCCCCCGGTCTGCTACATAGAGTGTGCCCAATGTATCAACGAAGATTCCTTCAGGCCAATATAATTGTGTCAAAGCACTCCCCTGATCTTGTCCTCCAGCGACCACAACACCTTCTTTTGCGCCTCTATTCCATTTCATTACACGATGATTGTTGTTGTCTGATACGTAGAGATTTTGTTGTCGATCGACAACGAGATATTTTGGCCCGTTGAGTAGAGTGGTATCATTATCTTTGCCATTGCCACCTGCTACGAGAGTGTAATTCTTCTCACCCAATTGATATCGTCTTACTTCATGTTTTCCGTAGTCAGAAACGTAGAGATATCTCTGTTCACCCATTGCTAATCCCCAACAGTCGATGTTGTTGATGAGTATTTCACCTTGTGTTGTGCCACTACGACGAGACCATCGTACAACTCTTCGATTCCCTCGCTCACAAATAATGAGACTATCCGTCTCTTTGTCAATTAATACATCATTGGGAAGATCCAATTGATGTAATCCATTTCCTTGACCTTTGCCACCAGCAACAACTTGCCCATTCGCTGTATCACCGTTCTTCCATTGCATGATACGATGATTCCAGAATTCAGCAATAACCACTGTTTGATCATCATCAATGAAGAGACCTTGAGGCCCGTTGAGTTGATTAGTAGCATTCCCTTGCCCGTGACCTCCAGCAATAGCCACTCCATTCTGTTTCCATTTAGCATTAGCAGGAATATTAACTAGAAGAGAAAGCGTAAGAATAAAAGGAGATCTCTCTCTCTTTCTCGAGTATAGCTAGTATATGAAACAATTTCGGAAGTATCGAGCAAAACTCTTTGAATAGATCACTTTTTTTCTAGAAATTCCTCCGAATAAGTTTTTTTCTATACTGGAAGATTATTCTACAGAGTGAATCACACATATAGCATATCGTTCTCTCTCTCTCAAAAGTATTTAAATTCTATATTTTTATAGAAAATCAAACTTAAATAATTGCATATGTAGTTAACCCAAGCAGACATTAAAAAGTCATTCATCGGAGTTTCAAGTGATGAGCTCTATTTATTTTTTTCTTTTATGAAAATTATTCTGCTAAATTTTATAAGACTGATGTTTGTAATTAGAACGTATCTAATATTAAGCGATCAAAAATGGCACGCAAAGGGCATATAGTAACGGGTGTCCCAGAAAGAATGGGTCCTCTCAGTATTTTTAAGATATGTCCTATATTATCCTTATGATTGAAACTGTTTTGTAATCAAAAGATAGCGCTTGAAAGTCTCTGCCAACTCATATATGATTCGACCCCAAAACAGCTTTTAGATATATCTGAAAAAAGACGAAAACTAAAAGCATATATATAGCTGTAAAAAGTAAATAAATGGTTGCACTTCCCCCATTTCATATTTTAATCTCTAAATACATTTATTAAAAAGACAAAATGTATCAGAAGATGCAACTTGAAAACTTTACAGTGGATAGAGAACAGCTTATTTTTTCCTTACACCTTTTTTGTTCAAAGACGCTCTAAATTCTGCGCAATCTGCTTTTTTAAAAACAAACAAAAAGTGTTTTATTAAATAAACTTTAATTTGGAGGATGTAGAGCTTTTCAAGTTGCATCTCGTGGTATATTGTGTTTTTTAAATAAAGGTATTCATAGCTTAAAATATTAGGTGCAAACTGTAATCATTTATTATGAGGCACATATTTACTTTTTACATTGGATTATATGTTAATTTTAGTTTTTGTCTTTTTCCGATATATCTAAAAGCTGTTTTGGGGTCTACTCTGAAAAAAATAAAGAAGGTTTACAGAACCCTCCGAAAAGGTTCTGTAGATTTTCAAAATGCTCCAAATGTGTTCAAAGTCTCAAAAAAAGGATAAAAATTTTGACAGAACCTTTTGAAGGTTCTGCGTTTTACCCA